ACGCACTATGTAGTTCAGGCTGGTATTGAACTCACTATGTAGCCTAGGCTGCCTTCTAACTCCTGGCATCCTCCTGCCTCAGCCTTCCTCCTGAGTGTTGGAATTACAGGTGTGTGCCACCATACCCAATTGTGTTTTTTTTGTGGAACAGGGGATTGAACTCAGGCCCTTGCCCTTGCCAGGGAAGCGCTTATTCTACTGAGCCATCTCCCTGGTCCCATACCCTGCTTTTTTTTTTTTGTGGAACCGGGGATTGAACTCAGATCCTTGGGTTTGCCAGTCAAGCGCTTATCCTAATGAGCCATCTCCCCGGCCCCTTCTTCTAATTCTTCTTCTTCTTTTTTTTTTATAATATTAGTGTGTGTGTGTGTGTGTGTCTGTGTTTCTCTGAATTCGACTTAGGACCTTATGCATGTTAAGCCTGTGCTCTAGCACTTAGCCAGCCAGCCCCTCCTGTTCCTGTTTATGCTTAGGCTTTTAGAGTACACAGACAGATATCCTTTCATCTCACTAACCTCTCTTCTCCCAGGCAACCTTTTGCCCAGAAAAAAAAAAAAAAATCAAAGAAATTCTCAGTGTCCTCTTGACATGTAATCATAGATCCTGGTGTTTGCAGGGTCAGCCTGGAAACTGTGTGGTTGGAATAAGCTCACTGGGTTTTCAAGCTGCCTGGGCAAAGATGTCTGGGTGGTCTTGAGGGTCAAGGCCTCCCTTGTGCTTTGCTCTGAGGCTTGGGGACTCTGCTAGACCTGTGTCCAGGACTGGAGCACTTCCCACAGCATGCCAGAGAGAAAGCTGTGGCTTTCAGTAGTGTGATGGCTCCCAGCACTTGGGAGTCTGAGGCAAGAGGGTCGAGGCCAGCCCTGGACTCCATGGTGGACCCTATCTCCAAAAAACATGGCTCTGGGAATTTTGTGGCATTTCTTCTTTTCTTTTCTTGTCCTTTTCTGTGGTGCCAGGGATAGAACTTGGGTTTGCACATAACTGGCAAGTGCTCTACACTGAGCCACATCTCCATCCTATTGGGGGGGGGCAGCATCTCACTATATAACCCAAGATGGTCTTTTTTTTTTTTTTTTAAATTTTATTTATGTGTGTGTGTGTGTGTGGCCAGCTCA